TCTTTTATAATTAATGAATATACTATCCGGGTGTATATTCAGGTGTATAAGTTGTGCACTATTATGCAGAAAAGATATTCCTTCTGCTATATCCAATAATCCGCATTTTAATTCTAATAAACATAAACCCTCTGTACCCATTATCTTATTATTATACCTGCTGCTGCTGCTGCTGCTGCTGCTGATGCTGCTGCTGCTGATGCTATTGCTGATGCTGTTGCTGGTTATGTTGTTATTGCTGATGCTGCTGCTGCTGCTGCTGCTGCTGCTGAGGCTGGTTATGGCGCTTACAGATGTGTTGCAGCTACCATCTGTATTTGGGGGACAGTACCCTCTATCTGTTGGGGGGCCCCCTGTATATTGGGGGGCCCCCTGATTTATTGAGGATGCCCCTAGCAGCTGTCTAAGGGTAATCTGTACAGGTTTAGTACAAAATACCCAATTATCTTTTCCTTGCTGCAGCGGCTCTACTACCTGCAGCAGCCGCGGGTGCCGCAGCCGCTGCAGCAGCTGCGCATCCTGCTGCAGCAGCTCACGTAGCTGCTGCAGCACAGCACCATCAGGAGAAAGAGCAGCAAACTCTGGGGCTTTTAGGTTGCATGCAAACAGAGATATAGGTACATTAGGTCTATCTACATGATAGCCGCTGTATACCTGAACAGAAGAAGAAAAAAGAAGAAAAAAAGAAGAAAAAAGAAATAAATATAAACAAAGAAGCAACAAGAGTCTGATGCTAGCGCTGCTTCCCCTGCTCCTGCTGCTCCTGCTCTTGCTGTTCCTGCTGTTCTTCGTGCTGCTGCTGCTGCTGCTGCTACACTCATTGGGCAATAAACTGCAATTCTTATTAAAAATATATATGGAAAAAGCTGCCTATACACCTGAATCTAAGGGGAAAGGAATCTTACCGTCCATCTACCATGACGAGTGCCTCGAATAAGAGGATCGCGGTCAACATGATATTGTTTTAACAGGGGATTTCCCATGGGTTCTTCTTCTTCTGTTTAATATATAGGAATATGAATGTCTATATAGACACTGTAAGGCATAAGAGCTGTTATTCGGGTGTATAGGCAGCTCAGAAGAGAACAATACGCCGTCTTGTAGTGAGCCACCAGATGATGATGCTGGCAAAGCGAAAGAAGACTTTAATGCCGACATGTACACCTGAATGACGACGAGCTGTTGAATAAGGGGAAAGGGAAAAAAGAAAAAAGACTTGGAGGCAAAGAAGAGGTATAAAAGAGGCAAAAGAAGGAGAAAATGTCTTTAAAGAAGATATTCAAGTCTTGTGTATTCAGGCGGAAAGAAGAGCAGAGAGAGAGGAAGGCTGCTCAGGAGGACCAACTGGCAACAAACCTCTATAGCGGAAGATATACACTTAAAGGATTAAAGAGGATTTAGAAGATCAGGAGAGAAAAATAAAAGAATAATCATTATGAACCATGAGGACAGGAAATGCGACTCGGCGGATCTATTGACTTTGAGTTGCATGTACACCGGAGTAATAAAAGGAATCGAACCGGCTAATATTCGTCTTATATATCTTTACTACACTAATATAGAATAACTAAGAAAGAAAAATAATATTTTTTATCCAAGAATATACAATTATCCATCCGTTTTTCTCTTTTTACCCTTGGGGCTCCGCAGACAACTACCGTGGTTCTTGGGCGGCATGCACGGCATAAGTAATACAAACATTAAAGAAGAACAGGCGCGATCCTCTAGGAAAAAAGGTTCTTCTTTGAATTTTTTCTCTCTTACCAAATAAATTAAAGCATTTGCTTTCGTCTTATCTACTTTTTATTTCCTGAAGTTTTTTATTTAATGACGAATTCTCTCCATTGCTGTTGACACAGACACCCGAGCTTGCGCATAAAAGGCGGCTGCGTTGATTGGCTTGGCTTTCTTCTTATTGCCATTCACTTGATTAAAACTTTAATTATTTCCGTTTTATTTCCTTTTTTTAATTCAATTAAAACATTTTAGTCTTCTTATTCTACAAAATATCTTCAACTCCTTCATCTGTGGGTGATCTGCTTACTTCGCACTACTACTGCTGCGGACGTTCTATCTGCATCAATTCCGTTGGATCTTCAGCGTTTTTCGTGCTGCATGCAAGCCGTTTTATTTATTTATTTATCTATTTATTGCTATATAATCCTTTATTTGCATGCGCTTTCTTACTAACATGGAGGAGGAGGATACTTAAGCTTAATTCTCCCCCACCATCCACCTCCTGCCACTGCCATACAACTCTGAGTCACAGATGTTTATGCGACAGTAATCCATGAACAGCAGCAACAGCAGCAGCAGCAACAACAGCAGCAGCAGCAGAAGCAGCAGGAGGAGCAGCAGGAGCAGCGCCTGAGTTATTACAGTTGTCCGTCTATCAATAGAATATTTTATAGCACTAGGCTACCCATAACACAACCCTAAACCCTAAACCCTTACCTGCCTATACACCCAGAGAGAAAGAGAAAGAGGCCAATTTAGTGCAGCTTTTTTTATTGCGTTTCTTCCCTTTTATTTCTCCATTGAATTGCTGCTGCTGCAGCATTATATTTAAACATATACTGCTACCATCAGCAGCAGCAGCAGCAGCAGCAACAGCAGCATTATAAAATCACTATACAGATATGCATGCATGCATGCACATATATAAATAAATTATATATATATGCATGCATGCATATATATAAAAAATTGTATAATATAATATAAATAAGATAAATATAAGTAGTAAATAAGAAGCTATGGAGGCCCTCCCTGGGGGCCCCCTTCCTTCTGTATCTTTATCATCAGTATGTAAACAAATAATAAATAATAAATTTAAATTAATAAATAAAAAAAGAATAAAAATAAATGAATTAAAAGAAAAATTAAATGAACAAAGAAAGCTGTGGATACACCTCAGCGAAGATCTACAAGATGATGGCATTAGATGTGATGTATGCGCTAATGCAGATACATCACCGGTACATCTTCCTGCTGCTGCTGCTGCTGCTGTTGTTGTTGTTGTTGTTGTTGCTGCTGCTGCTGCTGCTGCTGCTGTTGGTGGTGGTGCTGCTGTTGGTGGTGGTGGTTGTGGTGGTGGTGGTTGTGGTGGTGGTGGTGTTGCTGCTGCTGTTGTTGGTGGTGGTGGTGCTGCTGCTGCTGCTGTTGTTGGTGGTGGTGCTGCTGCTGTTATTGCTGTTGGTATACTTGTTGCTGCTGTAACTGTTGTGGCTGCTGTTTGTGTTGCTGATGTAGCTGTTGCTGCTGCTGCCTGCAACAGCAGCAACTGCTGCTGCGTCTGCTGTTACTTCCTCTGCTGCTGTTATTGTTCCCGCATTTGCGGGTATATTTTGTTGCATTGTCTGTATCTATATAACAAAATTATATTTTTTGCTGTTTTCCCCATCCCTTCTTCTTCCCTCTATTATATACATATTATTATAATGTATATTTGTTTAAAAAAAAAAAAAAAAAAAAAATTTAGGGTTTAGGGTTTAGGGTTTAGGGTTTAGGGTTTAGGGTTTAGGGTTTGTGGGTGTGTATAAATACAGGACGATGCAATAGTATTATGTGATGGATGTGATGCTGCTGTTCATCAAAGTTGTTATAATGTTGGTCCTCTTCCTGATGGTGAATGGTTCTGTGAGTATTGTAAGGAAGAAAGAAGATCTAAACAAGAAATACATAAATTAAATCTAATTAGACAAAGACAGGATCTAACTAAAGAACAAAAAGAAGGTATACAACAATATATTAGGGTTTAGGGTTTAGGGTTTAGGGTTTAGGGTTTGGAGGGCATTGCAGCGGTGTGTTTGAGGTTACGGGGGGTTAAGAGGGGATGGGGTAGATGAGGAGCTTTTAGGGTTTAGGGTTTAGGGTTTAGGGTTTAGGGTTACTCTGTAGGTTTGGATCGTTGACAGTAAGTAACAAGGAGGGGCGTATAAATTAGGGTTTATTAGGGTTTATTAGGGTTTATTAGGGTTTATTAGGGTTTATATTGTTTGCTGCAGCGGAGGCAGCAGCACTGCTGCAACGAGCAGAGAGTAACGGCATTGATATTCCCCCTCTTCCTCGTAGTTGTGTTTTATGCCCAAGAAGAGGAGGAGCACTTATACGCACAACTGAAGGTAGGGTTTAGGGTTTATTAGGGTTTATTAGGGTTTATTAGGGTTTATTAGGGTTTATTAGGGTTTATTAGGGTTTATTAGGGTGAATAAATAAAATAAATAAATAAGAATAAAATAAATAAGTATACCTAAATAATAGATGAATAGATAGTTAAATAAGGAGAAAAAAAGAAGAAAATAAATAAATAAATAAATAAATAAATGTGTATGATGTATGTATTCAGGTTTATGGGGACATTTAAGTTGTGGTATATGGTTACCTGAATGTTATGTATTAAATAGTCGTATTATTTGCGGTGTACATACACTGCATAATTCACGTTTTTCTTCTTTTTGTTGTATTTGTTTATTAAATAATTTTCCTTCTATACAATGCTCATTTAATAAATGTAATACTTCTTTTCATCCTATTTGTGCACTCTTTGCTGCATTCGGCATGAATATTACAGGTATGTTTATTTATTTATTTATTTATTTATTTATTTATTTATTTATAGTTAATTAATTAATTAATTATACCTAGCTAGCTATCTAGGTAGCTAGCTATATAGGGAGCTATTTAGACAGCTACATAGGTATATAGGTAACTAGTTAGCTATCTAACTTATCTACAGAGAGAGAGCAAAATAAAACCCATTTCCAGAAATTTAGGGTTTAGGGTTTAGGGTTTAGGGTTTAGGGTTTAGGGTTTAGGGTTTGTGTGCGGCAGCACATTGAGCAACTCCAATCAGAGGATTCTCTATGGGCAGGACGTCTTTCTTCTTATCTATTAAAGGTAACTTAAATAAAATAAATAAATAAATAAATAAATAAATAAATAAATTAATTAATTAATTAATTAATTAATTAATTAATTAGATTAATTATTAATAATAT